GTGTCCCAGAGGTCACTTAATGCAAAATCTTGTCCGCTCATTACTGGAGCATCAATGTTCTCCAACAACTTTGCAAAACACCTATTTTTCGCTGTGCTATTGGATGGCTCGTCACATTTATTTTTTGCCCAGTCATACCTGATAAGACATTTGCGGATACATTTTTTGTGACAATATAGATCTGACCCAAAGACCGAGTGAACATCTTGTAGGTCACTTGTCCGATAGTATACTTCGTCTTGAAAGAATACTGCAGCCTTAAGTAACTTATCTGCGCGAAGATCTTCACAAATCCTGAACTTCTGCCGGTCTCCCTTTTGCTTTACATTGCCACACACCGCACATACCGGTTCAGAAGCTTGTATACTAGTAGATGGAGGAGCCCATGGTACTATACTGTCTCTGGTTGGTCGGCTTACAGATGGGGCGGGTACAGATTCATCTCCCTCTGACTCTTCAGTAGCTTTGGACAACTCTTCTTCAAGTTTAGTCAGTGTCTTTTTGAGGGTGTATGATTTATAACATTTGTTGTTCACATGATAGATAAACAGTTCAACCAAATCGTTACGTATTCTGGCAGCCTCTAGTATCTTCATGCGTGCTTGTGCGTTGCTGCATGTTGGTTCATTAGTGTCGATCTGGCAAATGATACACTTCTTGATGTCAATTTCAGCGACTTCAGAGCACCGCCTTTTCAGTGGAATCCCTTCCAATTCAGTCATTGCCACGAAAATCTGAGGTATAACGTAAGCGTTAGGCTGTCTGAAGAGTGACTGATCTGATGAAAGCCTTCAATATCCTACTTTTAACTATATAGTTAAATGGGTTACAACGCAAAAGTACTCAAGGGCTTATAGTACTCAAGGGCTTAAAGATGGGTTCCCAGAAAAGTATTTATCGGGTGGTTATTTCCAATAAAAGTATGGCAATTTTTGTTATATTACCGGCATTTTGGTTGAAGTGAGGGATAAGTCAATGAAACAGACTTCTTGGCGTGCCATGCACGGAACTGTGGGTAAATCACTAGAAATGCCAACGCTGATTGATTAATCCATGTCTGACATCATAGGGTCAAAAGCCGCTCGTACGACCCCTGAGTACAACTGGTCAGATCTTCATGTAGTGTAGGCCATCGAAAGTATAAAAAAAACGAAACAAGATGTAGATCTGTATTTTAATCAGATTGTTGTACCATCAAGTTTATCAACATATTAGAGCAGGAGCCCAGGGGGTCAACCTAGCTGAAAATTGTACCAATGTTCACCTATATGGTATTAATGCATGCATATCTGGTGTCATCAAAATGTAAGTCTGCTGGGTATCTGGTGGTGGGTGTGGCTGTAAGGGCTGCGATACTGGGTATGAATTCTTGAGCTAGATTAGCTCAAAAGTGTAGCACATGAAAATGGTACAGCAGTGTACCTTACATGTTCAAGTATTACAAAAACACTTTGACCGACATTTCTAGTGGTGGGGTACCCCCAAAAGAGTTATGTAATTGCCAGACCACAGTTAGGCTAGATTAGCTGAAATCTGAACCACTTAAAACTGCTTGGAAGTTGTTCAGCACCACCACAGGAACCAAGAGTGATCACTGCCAGACAATATTTGCGGTGGGTTACCCCGACAGACACGACGAAAATCCCCCCCCCCCCCAAACTATGCAAGATTAGCTGAAGTCTGTACTACCTAAAAGTGCTTGGAAGTTGTTCAGCACCACCACAGGGATCATGAATTACCACTGCCAGACAGATATTGCGGTGGGGTACCCCTGAAAGAAACGCCCAAAATGCCCCGCTGTGCAACTAGGCTAGATTAGCTGAAATATTTACCACTTATAACTACTTTGGTGTTGTTCAGCACCACCAAAGGAATCATGAATGATCACTGCAAAACAGATTGTACGGTGGGTTACCCCTAACAGACACGCCCAAACTGACACGCCTTGCAATTAGGCTAGAGTAGCCGAAGTGTGTACCACTTAAAACTGCTTGGAAATTGTTCAGCACCCCGGGGATCACACTGCCCATTGCTAGAGAGTTTGTTTGGTGGGGTTCTCCCAAGAGACACGACAGCCAAGCGCCCCTCCCAAAGCGCCCCTCCCAAAAATTTGGCTATATCAGCTGGGTCAGACTTATTGAGAATTCTGGGTATTACATATTTTCATAAGTATGTAATATCTATTAAAGATTAAGTAATCGTATGAAGAATAATAAGAAGTGGTTCAACTCAGTGACCACTGACATACGAACCATACAGTCCGGTTGGCAAACCCCATTTTAAGCCTTGACATGGAAATATAGTCTACCTAATGTTTATTGGTGGATTATATATCTTCTATATGTGTAGATTCAGAATTGGGGAAAATTTATATATTCAAGATGGCAGACATGAGGCGGTTTCTGGTTATTTAGTGGGGTAAAATATGTGACAGCTACTCTCAGACCTCGGTTTGAATATGTTTCTAGAAGAATTCGAGCCGCTGAGTCCAATGAGCTAGGGTATTCCTCCTGAAAGTGATAGGGCCAAATTCAAAATGGAGGCTCATTTTAGAGGGAAACTCATAAAGTTAACTAAAAAGATGTGCAATATATTGAAATGTAGGTTTTGAGTGGATTATATGTCTTTAATATGTGTAGATTCAGAATCTGGGTAATGCCACCCTGGCACCCTTCGACATGAGACATTTTCTGGTTATTTACTTTAATTTAGTGGGGTAAAAGTCGGGACAGATTCTCTGGGACCTCGGTATGAAGCTGGTTTCTGTCGTAATTTGACCCGCTGAATCCAATGAATTTTGCTATTCCTCCTAAAAGTGATGGCTAATTCCGCTAGGGGGCCAAATTCAAAATAGAGGCTTATTTTAGAGGGAAACCCATATAGTCCCCTAACAAAGGAGTGCAGTATATTAAATATAGGTTTTCGGTGTCAGTTACTTCAGATATAAACATAAAATCATGTTCCAACCAAAGGGTATTCCAGGTTGAGGTCATATTCAAAATGGCGGCCAATTTTGGCGAGACATAACGATGTTAGTAAGTAATGTTTTAATATAAGTTTTCTGATTCGCCGAATTCATAGAGCGAATTGTCAAGCATACATTATGATCCACTATGACACCAGTCGCGGTCATCCTCTCTACCAAAAAACAGAGGAGAAGAAGGGATGGAAAATGTTTGCCAATCTCAGCTTTACCGGCGCGTATGAGTGACCTAATAACTGTCAAGACAAGTTTCACCCCCGGTGAATGATACTGATGAAAGCGGAGCAATCAGACTGTTAAACTGATTTTGAGTTTTCAAGTGATTCAAGCGAGCGTAAGTTAGACTTTTACATGAGGTTGGACAAGCCCCAGTTAGCTTTTATAAACATTTGCTTTTGACTCACGATGGCCCAATGGTTGATTCTGTTTGACCGTGTATAATTTGTGTCCTTATAAGAATATAAGAGAAAGAATATCGTCGGATTGGAATATCTTTTGGTTGAAACATGTTTTTTATGTTTATATTTGAAGTAATTGACAACGAAAACTTATATTTCAATATATTACACGCCGTTTTAGGGAACATTATGAGTTTCCTTCAAAAATGAGCCCCCAGCCCCCATTGTGAATTTGGCTTCCTAGTGGAATTAGCAGTCACTTTTAGGATTCAATGGGTCAAATTCTTATAGAAACTACCTTCATACCAAGGTTCCAGAGAATCTCTCCCGAATTTTACCGCAGAAAATGTCTCATAACTTCACCTAATCAAGCCTAGTTGCGGGGTGTGGCAATTTGGCCGGTCGTCAAGGGAACCCCACCGCACAATCTGTCTGGCAGTGATAATCTATGATTCCTGCGGTTTTGCCGAACAACGTCCAATTAATTGTAGATCGTACGGACTTCAACTTATCTAGCCTAGTTAGGGGAGGGGGGGTCTTGGTATTTTGGGCGTGTCTGTCAGGGGTAACCCACCGCACAAACTGTCTGGCAGTGATCATTCATGATTCATGTGGTGCTGAACAACTTCCAAGCAGTTTTCGGTGGTACAGGCTTCAGCTAATCTAGCCTAGGTGGGGAGGGGTGGGGCTGGCATTTTGGGCATGTGCGTTAGGGGTAGCCCACCGCACAAACTATCTGGCAGTGATCATTCATGATTCCTGTGGTGCTGAACGACTTCCAAGCAGTTTTAGGCGGTGCGGATTTAAGCTAATGTAGCCTAGCTGGGAGGCGTGGCATATTGGGTGTGTCTGTTATGTAAGGGTAACCCACCGCAAAAATTGTTTGGCAGTGATCATTCTTGGTTCCTGTGGTGGTGCTGAACAACTTCCAAGCAGTTTTAAGCGGTTCAGATTTCAGCTAATCTAGCCTAGCTGTGGTCTGGCAATTACATAACTCTGTCGGGGGTACCTCACCACTAGAAATGTCTGTCAGAGTGTTTTTGTAATACTTGAACATGTAAGGTACACTGCTGTACCATTTTCATGTGGTACAGTTTTGAGCTAATCTAGCTCAAGAATTCATGCCCAGAATCCCAGCGCTCACAGTCACACCCACCACCAGATACCAGGCAGACTTACATTTTGATGATACCAGATATGCATACATTGATACCATATATGTAGAAATTGGTACACTTTTCAGCTAGGCTCGGCTCCCGGTCTATATACATCAATCACTCACTAACGCTGGGATATTAGACAATCTTTGTGCTACCTTTGACGTTACTCAAGCAGACATCACTAGTCATTTGGTTGCCGGTTAGGGAAACCCTTACATTTTTGTCCTGTATGCACTCCATGACTGTTTTTCAGGGAATCCAGTTCTTTTCTAGTAAGATTGGATGTTTCTACTTTCCATATACACCAAAATTGCCATACTTTTATTGGAAATAACCACCCGATAAATACTTTCTGGGAAAGTATCTTTAAGACCAATTTTATTAACAAATTGCTCTGAATGTGGATATCCATTTGACTTGAGTTTTATTATTTCTAGTTTTCTATTTCTATTTTACCAGGTAATCTTGATCCGAAAGATGCTTTTTTATACTTAAAACTATTACAAGTATTATTACCACAGTTACCATCACCTAAATCTTATGATTACAATACTGATGATTCAGATAGTGAAGAAGATATAATGGTAGAAGAGGTATTGAATTTGATAAAAACTTTAGCATCTGTTCTGTTAAGATGTTCATATTAGTAATTAATGTATTTATTTTAAATGCATCTAAATAAATTTGGTAATTATGGCATTGTTTTGAGATCCACATTTTAAGTACAATGTTTACTGGACATACTGGAAAAGTAACACATTCTCCAAGTGGAAAGTCAAATTTACTTTGTTTTTTTATATTATATTACAATAGTATTCTACAGTTGTATAGAGATTCAATATAGAGATGAGGTTCCAAAACATTTCCCAGCATTGTCGCTGTATGCATCTCATTTTTATACACCCACATTTTCATGTGGATGTATTATGTCGTAGCTCCTGTCCGTCTTTTCACATTTTGATTGTGAACACTCAAGAGGTCACAATTTTATTTGATTTTAAAAAAATGTTTAAATATAACACTGTTACACCATAATTATAGTTGGGTTCAAATTTAATGAAAATCGGACAGTAACGTCCGGGCAATACGCAAATAGTGTAAAAGCATGTAATACCAAAGTTATGGAACCTCTATAGCCAGGGTACCTAAATGTACCTAAAAAAATTGCCAATAAAATAAAAGTGATATTTTATACATTTTGTGTTTTGAAGTAATAATATCTTTAGATTTAGCCAGGTCTAGTATCGAGCTGTGGAGGAATTGCCTTTCTGCAGTTTTTTCTTCTGAAATACTTGAAAAAATGGGAAATATGTACAAAGTTAATGGATTCTCCAGAGGCAACTATTTTTGTCCGATTCAGATGAAACTTAAAATGTGTGTTAAGTATATAACATGTTAAGGATATATCATGTTAAGGATATAACAGCCTGGGTTGTTAGTTCAAATTGAATAATTTAGCAAATACACTTGAATTACAGAAAAAATTTATATTTGTGTTTATGATGAACACTATTGAAACGCTGTATTTTCAAGATGAGTGTTATACACAGTAGACTGGAGAATGTTAATGTTATATCAACATATTAACCAATCTATATTTTGATCATTGTTCATTATCCCCAATTTGGGCTTGTTCCCATAAAGCGGGGCTTATGTCGACTTTGCAACCCAAAGAAACTAGTTGCAGTCAGTTGCAAGAGTGCTTATGTTGATCATATCAGCAACTGAGGACGACTGGGAGCAACTGAATTCAGAGCGCTTATGTCGACTCGGAACTGATAGCGATCACACTGAACACGTGACTTTTAATTTATTCATCACATGATCAACAAAATGGCGAATTACTTAGACGAAGCAACCCAAAGGCATGGTCTGTCTTGCTACAATTCTATTAGTATATTATTGTCAACATGATCAAAACTTGAAAAGTGGGTGTTTTCGTTCGCTTCCATTTGCTTATTTATAAAGACACATGTCTCTTATCACATGATGTTATTTTCATGGAAACGAGTAGACTCCAGTTGCAAAAACGCTTATGTTGACGGCCACTAGTTGCAGCCAGTTGCAGAAAGTTGAACATGTGCAACTGACTGTAACTAGTTGCTTTCATTTGCAAGGTCGACATAAGCCCCCTTTAAGGTATCACTGAGAACTACTAAAGGGTTAATTTGTGCATGGACCTGATATAAATCTCTGTCTTTCTGCGTTGTTATTTGTACGTCTATCGAAAGAAAATTAATTTCCCGATTATTACTCAGCATTACCACGTTAAAATTGTAAATAAGGTGCGGTAATTAACCAAGGCGAGAAACTGTCTGAGTTAATTAATGCTAGGGGTGAAAAACTGTGCGACTGTGCAATTTCTGTAGAGGTGTGGTAATTAACCGACCGGTAAAAAATGAATGTCAATGGTGTGTATTGTTTAATTGGTCTGTTTTCTCTGTTTTCTCGCTAGTTGCGATAACTGCACCAAAAGGAGTATAATCAAGGACCAACAGGCTTTATCTGAGATGTGCGTGTCAAATCAAAATCTGGGAATTAAAACTGTTTTACCATGCGATTTATCATCCGAATGTGGGTTTTACATAGGACTTTAATAGTTCTTTTTATATGGATGTGTGCTCGCTATATGATTAAAATTTCTCTCATGCATCTTTTGTATTTGTATAAGACCCGTACGCGTTTTATACTGCCACGCTACTTATATATAAATTTGCATTTAATGAAATAAAAATGTGGGCCTTGGTGTATCGTACAGAAAGGTGAATACAATGTCGTCATATAAATATCCCACACCGAGACCCCAATTTGAATATCCCTGGGTATATAGCGAGCAAGCTAAATTTTCCGTATGTGTGTATTTACTTATACATTTGTTCTTTGTATAATTATTTAAAGATAGGTCTTTAGATAGGCATGTGTACTTGCTATGATCTACGTTTCTACTATGCATCTTTTGTATTGCGTACCATATATATAAAGTTGCATTTAATGAAATAAAAATATGGACCTTAATCTATCGTATGGAAGGCAAATGTAATGTCGTCATTTTAAATACCCAGCAGACAAAGCCCAATTTGAATATCCATGGAAAAATATAGAGAGTAAATCAAGCAAAATCTATTTTTTCTACAACCGAAATATATTACTGCTTTATTTCTAAATAGATGCACATTGACCGTTTCACATTTATGTAAATTATAAAAATGCATCACGATGCGTAAATTGTGCATCTTACCTTCAATAGCAATATCCATGAATTAGAAATTTCCATATTGTTAAATAATGCGACACAACTAACCGAAGAATGGTAATTCACACACAAAAGATATATTTAAACCAAAATTACATTAGCTTTTCACTAAATTTACATGGCATACAATCCAACGATCCTCATTCCAGAACTTGTAATTTATAATAGCCCCTTTAATGCAATTACAGAATTGTCCCGTGATCTAACATATCAAAGAAGCACATACGCCCGATACCTGTAAGAGTATTGAAACGTTGCATGTAATAAACTAAGAAGTAGCAAATCCATAAAGTTGTGTTATTATGAACTTTTTAAATTTTCGGACGTAAAATGACAGTGACGAAGTTTCAAAATTTCGAAATATTCAACTGCTATCTTCCAGCAAAAGTCACAAGGTTTTCGAAAATGTCATTGGTTTTAAAATTGGTGAAGAATTGAAGAAACTATGGCTGATTTTTTATTTTGGCCATTTCGGCCACTTCCGGTCTGCACAGAAGTTTAAAATATACTTTATGGAGTAGCCACCACATGGTTTCCCGGTCGAAAATTAGGTTTCAGATCGGTATCTGTTACAGGCACTGAGAAATAAGCTCCCGCAGTAAATAATAATAATAACTAGATCTGCAAGCTGCACTGAACCGGCTTTCAAGAATTAGACAGGAAGTGTGTCATACAATAGCCCATTCATCGAGTTACCAAACAATACTTTAGATGTTTTGATGCGGTCACACCCGACAGTGAAATCACGATTTTTGCAAGAGCACCGATTTTTACTGTTTTTTTTTAAATATCGAATATTTTTTCGACTACTTCCGGTTTACGGATCATTGTCGGGATAGATTTAACATGTTGTATGGGAACTTAACTTCCTGTACCAGAAGTTTCAGAAAGATCCATTGGACAGTTTTTAAAAGAAAGGAAAGGTAGAAGATATTTAACGATATTTAGCAAATAATTGGTAGTCTGATGCCAATGTGTTATCTCCTTATACCATTAGAAGAAGATATAAAGATTTTTCGACTTTTTTCAAAGATTGTGGCCCTTTTTGGACCATTTATACTATATTGAGGCTTTTAAATTTGGATTCACACCCTAGACCACCGTTAGATTTTCAGCGTACCATTATATATTGCCTAACCAGCGAATTCTTACCATTTAGATGTCATACGATCGTCCATTGTTCGGGCTATCCAATGACACTTTAGTTGTTTTGATTCGATGAAATCTTACGTAGTAATCACTTTTTTCGCAAGATCCCCATTTTTTTTAATTTTTATATTTTTTTTCTCAAAATATCGGATATTTTTTCGACTACTTGCGGTTTTTGGATCATTGTCGGGATAGTTTTAACAAGTTGTTTGGTTACCTAACCTTCTGAACAAGACGTTTCAGAAAAATCCATTCAGCTGTTCTCCAAAGAAAGAAAAATAGAAGAGCATTTTCAGTAATTGAAGGATTTTTCAACTTTTTTCCAAGATTTTATTTTTGGACTCGCGCCATAGTCCACCGATAGGACTCTGAGTAAAAAAAAGTTTAAGAAAAATCGTAGTTTTCGTTTTCGAGAAAATGGCGTTCCAAAATGGAAAATACTAGATTTTCGGCGTACCATAATTTATTTTCTAGCCATCTAAATCGTATCATTCAGATGTCATATGATAGTCCATTAATTGGGCTATTAAGTGATACTTTAGTTCATTTGGTCCGCTAACATCTGATGGAGAAATCAAGTTTTTCGCAAGAGCACTATTTTTTTTAACCTTTTTTCTTCATTTTTATACGCCCACATTGAAATGTGGTTGTATATTGTCATCCCCCCCGTCTGTTCGTCAGTTCGTCCGTCGGTTGGTCCGGCGTCCACAATTGCTTGTTGACGCTCTAGAGGCCAAAGTTAATATCCGATTGACCTTAAATTTATACACATTGTTTAAGGTCTTGAGACGAAGAAGCCTTTTGATTTTCAGCGATTTCCGATAATTACTGTCAGAGTTATGGCAATTTCCGATAATTACTGCCAGAGTTATGGCCCTTGATAACTTTGAAAAATCTTGTGGACGCTCTAGAGGCCAAAGTTAATTTCCTATTGACTTTAAATTTATACACAGTGTTTAAGGTCATGAGACGAAGAAAACTATAGATTTTCAACAATTTCCGATAATTACTACCAGAGTTATGGCCCTTGATCACTTCAAAAAATCTTGTGGATGCTCTAGAGGCTAAAGTTAATATCCAATTGACTTTAAATTTATACACAACGTTTGAGGTTATGAGACGAAGAATTCTATTGATTTTCAGCTATTTCTGATAATTACTGCCAGAGTTATGGCCCTTGATCACTTCAAA